TTGTAAAACATGTTTTAGAAGTTAATCTACGTTTGGAGTTTATTAGTAGCTCTAAAATGTTTGTGTCTTTGAACTAAGTCCCGTTAGTGACACCGCCCGTTCCGGACCACGGGGACGGGGGATGCTACATATTAGATATGTTATCGGAGGTAAGTAAACACTAACTAACTTTTCATTAATTGTTCATTCACAATATACAACCAATTACTATATTAGAGTTCTGAGTCCCGCTCTTTTCTTGCAGTGGCAATCGCTAAATGAATCATTGAATTTGTCTGCATCTTACTCAACTGATCTCCAGCAATGTGCATATGAAGTTAAGGCAATTATCGGCTATGGTATCATTATGGAGAATATACATTTGATGCAAGTTGTGAAAACATTGAGGTGGTCTAATATTGTTCATATAAATTATTATTTTGACTTTAAACTAGCCTGTAAATTTCATTGCCTTTAACCTACGAGGTTCCTTAACATCATTCAGTCTTAGAGTAAACAAAATTTTAGCTTCCTTGGATCAATCCAATTATTCCTTGAGTTGTTTTTAGAATCTTGGCTTCAACAAATCAATTTTAGTGTTTGCTGGAACCAATTGGTTTGGGGTTGTTTTTACAGATTTTGGTTTTAGTTGGTCTGCTTTTTACTTAAATTTGGAAATTGGAGTTTAAAAGATGGTGAAGATTATTTATGTTTTAAAAGATAGTGAAGACTATTGTTGGGCTTACCGTGTAGGGGTGTAAATGGTACGAGCTTGGAAATTGAGTTTCAAGTTCGAGTCGAGTATAGTGATACTTGAGCTCGACTTGCATCATTTACACCCCTACTATTAGGTATCATTCACTTTATTGGGTGAACATGGTACTCGGTAAAACGTTTGTCAAACGACCACTAAATGGTTTTTACCTAAGGAAGTATGTATTTCAAAGCAATAATGGTAATTTATTCTCTTTTTATTCTTACATTCTTGCATATATTTATTTGAATTTTATGTCATGTCTCATTAYTCGGGTACATCACTAGGTGAGAAAATTAAGCGTTTACATCCCTAATATTCCACATGGAATGAGATTGCCATCTAAAGTATTTGAACTTCAATTGGAATCTCGTATTTATGCAAAATGATTTTTTTTTCATTTTATAGTAAATTTTTTGTATCCCGCCGCATTGCACGGGTACACAACTAATATATATATATATATATATATATATTATTTAAATTGCAAAAATGAAAAGTTTGAACAATTCATGCGGTTGAAAATATTTCAAAATAAACAGAATATGAAAAAAAAAACAAGTTTCAACAATTAATATGTTGAAAACATTTTAATGTAAAATAAAAATGAGAAAATAAAAGATAACTATGAAAGATTATTTCTTATTAAAGTTGGTTTCTCAAGATTCCATGAGGAATGGTTATTGTCAACCAAACTCTAAAGCAATTGCCAAAAACATACCGTTGGTTCTATTGAAAAAAACCCTTAAGAAAAATGTAGATTACATTAGTAAAAAAAACTCTAAAATCCCAACAAAATTAAGAAAGAATTGTGTACTTGGATTAATCGTCTCGAAGTAAATCTGAAAAAAAAATATAATCATTATAAAATGACATGTTAAAGTTTGGTGAGGCTACATCAAAAATTGTAACAAAAAAAACTTTAAAATCTCAACAAAAGTCAAAATAAATGCATACACATATCAGTTTTCCCAAAGTATACTTGAAAAAAGATAACCATTAAAAAACATGTTGAAGTTTGTTAAGACTACATCATAGTTTGTAGTACTTTCAAGATTCCATTATCGGGCCATTATTATTGCCATAACATTTCATCATCGAACCATTGTTGTCATCAAAACTTTAAAAAACATTGTCAAGAACAAACTCTCCGTTTCATTGAGGAAACTTAAGAAAATTATAGAAGAAAAAAAGTAAAAAAAAAATCTAAAATCCCAGCAAAAATAAAAAAAAATCCATACCTGAATTAATCTTCTCGAATAAACTTGACAATAGATTTGACGAAAAAGAAAAGAATTTATGAAATGAAAAACAAATCAAGTGATGAATATGGAGAAAAAAAGATTGAATGATGAACAATGTATGAAGAAGAGTTAGAAAAAATGAAAGGATTATATTAAATACAAGCATAAATGAATAATCAATGTCTATAGAAATTAGAATGGAAATTAGAAAAAAACAGATTAAAAAAAGACAAATGAGAAAAAAGATAAATAAGTTTCTAACCTTTAGCAGATGTTTGTTCAAATGAATTTCTTTTATATGCTTATTAATGTAACTTTTATTATTTAATGAGATATTTTTTTAATATATAATAGAATTAATTATAAATAATATTGATTTATTTAGTTAATGTTAAAATGAATGAGATTGTCAAGTAAGTAGACATAAGGGTATTGTCGAAAATAGAAATAATTGAAAATAGAAATAAATATTATGATTAATAACAATTATTTACAGGTGCAAATCTGTTAAGCTCTCAATGGGGTCCCATTTATTAAACTGGTTTTCGTAAGTAAAATATTTTTTGGGTACAAAAAATGCACCCGTTGAATTTTAATTTGAGGAATGTTTTAGAAAATACAAGAAATATCAACCGAAAAAATTCATCGAAAATATGGAATTCGATTAAGAACACATATGACGACTTTACGAGTGTTTACACTTTATTTTGATAAATTAAATGTTACATTTATTTATTTCCAATCTAACCCAAAATTAATGATAATTAATCTTTTTGAAGCGTCTAAAAATAAATAATTAAAACATTTTCATTTTGATATTCATATATTTTGTTTTAATCTTTTTATTTTTTATTAATATTAATGATTAAACTTTTTGAAAAATACTTTTTAATGATCAAAAATTTAATTAAAAAGGAATAAGAAGGAGAGAGACCGTACTACTACTACCGCGTTGAAGGATGAGGAGATTTATTTGGTTTTTTCAAACCGACGAGTTTTTTCACGTTGTAAATATTTGTACCGTACAAGTAATGAATGCGTGCTTGCTTACTACTATATCATTTTCATGCCAAAAACGCAACCAAATTACAACTTTGCCTTCATTTTGCCACCTGATCCATCATCAAATATATTTATTATTCTTTAACCATTTTCACACCTGCAATTCACACCAACACGCTAAAAACCATCATATAAAGCCTCATAATTCTTCATCAACCTATCTTTTTCCTTCTCGGAATCAATCAGATTCATCTGCAACCATACCCACCATTTTTCTTTACAGATATATCAAGAAATACATATATATATATATGGACCATGGACACCTTCATCATATGCATACCAGTAGTGTAGGCGTTGATCCAAGCATAGCCAGTGGCAGCAACGACCGGTTTCCGCAATGGAGTGTGCAAGAAACGCGGGATTTGTTGATGATACGGTCGGAGCTGGATCCAACGTTCATGGAAACGAAACGTAATAAGCTTCTTTGGGAAGTGATATCCACAAAAATGAAGGAGATGGGGCATAATCGTAGTGCTGAGCAGTGCAAAGCCAAATGGAAGAATCTTGTCACACGTTATAAGGTTTGATCTCTGTGTTTCTGTGTGTCTTCTTTTATCTACAATATTGGATCTGAAAATTGCTGAAATACTTTGTTTTCCAAGTCTTCTGTTGAACCCTAAATATTTGTGTTCTCTCTCTCTCTCTCTGTCTCTCTCTCTGTATATATATATATATATATCTATGACATTAAACCCTAGATCGATGAATCCTGTTTGAAAAGTTTTATAAGCCAGTCTCTTGAATCTTGTGGTTAAGTTGAGGGTTTGGAATCATTCATAAAAAGCTTCTTTTTAACAAATCTTTTAGAAAAAAAGATAATTAAACCAGCTTCTAGCAAACCCTAGAAAACTTACTTTAGGATAAAGCTTCTTAATACGAACAATATATATATATATATATATATATATATATGTATATCTAACATTTTTACATAAGACAAGACGCAAATTGTTTTGACCGATAATCTATAAAGCAATATATGAGGATGTTTAGACATATTTGACGTATGAAACCGATTTTATTGTAGTGATGATACACATCCGACTAGCAGCGATTCTTTGAATTCATGAACTATGTTTGTTCAAGGAATTCGACTGCTATTATTTATATCAAAATCTGTCCATCAAGTACCAGATATGAAATGATTGGGAAATACTTTGTTTTAGAAATTAATAATTAAGACATCACTTAGAAACGAGGAGGGTTTGTTCAAGTGTCACATGTATATAAACTCAATTATTATCAAAGACGTATGCATCTAGACAACCTTTTCATTAGGAAGATTCATTCACATTTGAATGATTTTTATGAGTCTTCAAGAAAATATCTTATAAATGAAATTGAAACTACCATAGAAATTTCTTGCTTCAAAATCACAGAAAAGTGTGTGCTTCTGTCTCTCACTCTCTCAAGACACATGAAATCTCATCTGACTTGCTATGAAAGTTTCTATTTTATAATCACAAGGGTGTGTCTGATTAGTTTGAGTTTGGACTCCAATAGTCAAAAGTGTCTGAAGGTCTCAGGTTCAAATCCAAAAAGGAATAAAAATCCTCTTGTGGCCACGAAGGTTCAAATACAGTGACTCCGAGCTATTTGCAAAGCCCTGGGATTAGTCGGCTCGCATAGCGGGTTAGATATCCAGGTTAATAAAAAAAGTTTATATTTTGTATATGTTGACATATTCCTATAAATTTAGGTTCGCTAAATCCATCCCTATATATTGTTTTTATCTACTGATTTTCAACTTACATACAGTAATATCAAAACTTATTTTTTATACTTTTAACGTATGATTTGATTTGGTTTTGATGTAAAAAAGGGATGCGTATAGTATTACTCCAGGTTTAGCTGTGAAATTTAGGGAAATACCTGGTTTTAACGAAAACTCGAACGGGTTTTTCTTGTCAACTTTTTCTTAAATTGAAGATGAATGAATTGATGTGAGATTTTTGGTTACGACCATTTTCTTCAACATGCAAATATGTTGAGTTCTTAGTTTTATCGTGTAATTACATATAATTATTGTATAGTGACTATGTTTGTTTGTGCAACTATATCACCCATAACCAATTTTGTTAAATCCATCTAGAAGGCTTAATGATTATAGTATGAACTAAAGTTGGACCGTTGGATTACGATTAAAAATATATGTAGGGATGTGAGACGATGGAACACGATGGTATGCGGCAACAATTTCCGTTCTACAATGATCTACAAGCGATTTTCTCAGCTCGAATACAAAGGATGCTATGGATGGAAGCAGAAGGCGTAGCAAGCGGATCTAAAAAGAGGGTGATGCAATTGTCTTCGGATGATGATGATGATGACGACAAGGAAGAAATTAGCGACCCAGAGAAGACGACGAGTACTGGAGCCAAGAACAAGAAAAAGAAGGTCGTAAAGAGTGGTACTGTAATAAAGAATCCTAGTGGTACCATCTCCAATAACACGAAGGAGATGCTCGAGGAATTCATGAATCAACAAATGCAAATGGACTTGCAATGGTTGAAAACATTCGAGGCCAAAGAAGAAGAGAGGAGATCGAAGGAAATGGAGTGGCGGCAAACGATGGAAGCATTGGAGAACGAGAGAATGATGTTGGATCAGAGGTGGAGGGAGAGGGAAGAGCAGAGAATGATGAGAGATGAAGTAAGATCTGAAAAACGAGATGCTCTTATTACTGCGCTCTTAAACAAGCTTAAACGACAAGATATGTAGGTTCAAGTTATGCGTTGTTCGACTTAGACTTGCTCAAATCGTTGAGATTTTGCTTAAAATAATTTAAAGATCCCAAGTTTAAATCCAAGGGAATCCACTTTTGATTTTGACAATCATAGTAAATGTGTGATTCAGGCAAGAGAATTCATCCTCCCAAGTTTAACGTGAAATGAAAATTTGGACTTGTAAAAGAACGGATCCGTTATATAATATAAAACTAAACAACTGTACCATTAGTTACCTGTTTAATATACTTAACCAAACACCCTCATAGTCTAAGCTCAAGGCTCATTTTCCCTCCTCGGGAATCATAGGCATGACCCCAGGATTTTTATTCGAACAGGTGTACCTTAAAGATAGATCAAAGGCCTATAAATTCGTCCGATGTCTTTTTACACAAATTCCACCGTTTTGAAAGGGTGTTTTAAAGTTTTTTAGTTGATTTCATGGAATTCTTTTAAAGTTTGTTGGTTGATTTCAAGACTTTTTTGGTTGATACCCTTTTATTTATAGTATCCCAGAGCACGACTTACAGTTTAACATGTGTACCTTTCATACAAAAAAATTACTATAAAAATCGGTTAAACAGTTGTACGGGACCGTTTGAACTGTCGTAGGTCCACCCCTTATCATAGCCTAGTATCAATATCATACACTAGAAATGGAACTACTTCTGATTTAACATTTTGACGAGAATATTTGTAATTCTGTTTTTTCAAGTCAAGCACCCAAAACAACAAAAATCTATAATCACATTTTTTACTCCTTATATACGATAACTTTGATTTTTGTTTGCAAATTATTCATGTTTTATATGTTGGATTAATACTTAAACGTTTTTATTAAATTACATATAAAACTAAATATATTAGAAAAAAAACTACTTCACAGTATTTTAAGAAGAAAAGATAGGAGTTAAGATTCGATTACCCAAATGCTTACCTAGTAAACGCTTACTGGTAAGAGTCAACATTATTAGTTATCTTTCGGGTAAGATTCTAGTCCATCAAAATGGCTTCGTATTGAAAAAAATTTACCTGGTTACTCTCGGCCCTTGTCATCGTTCTTATCGAATAAAATTCTTTATTTTTGCTATGTTTATCTAGTAAGATAAGAGACCATATAAGGTAATAATAACTTACCGAGTAAATGTTTGGTAATTAATGACGTGTTGGTCTCGTGTAAGTTGAGACGGTTGTTTATATAACCATAAGATCCGACAATTTTTACGTTGATTGGTTTATATACTTACAAAATGAAATTCAAATAATCGTCGTTCAGTAAAAGGTTGGAAATGAAGGAAACAAATAATAAGATGACAAAAAAGACAACCAAATAGCGCACGTCAACGTCTCAAAGCTTTTTCTTTTTCCTTTTCAAACCATGACTTGCCAGAAAACGACGTCGGAAATTGGTTTCATACAAAGACGGATCCTGCAGCACCATCGGCAGAATTCACATTCCTTCATTTGACTTTGCTGCATATTGAATCTAGAATGAAGGACCAACAAAACGGAAGAACCAAAAGAAAATCGATTTTTATTCTATTTACAAATCAATTATTAATTGGTTATAGATTTTTATGGTTTTGTTGTTGAATAAAAACGTAGTACCGCTTATTGGTTTGATCTTATAAACATCCTTGATGCCTCACACTCTCAAACTTGAAAATTGAATTTCTTGTATTTGCTGTATATATTTATTATACTACCTTATAAACCAAATTTATTAAAAATTTTAGAAACAATTTTTAATGCACAAAATCTTAAAAAACAACTCATAATGCATTAAGTACTGTTACTTTATGCATTCAGTCTTAAAATATCTTAATCTATAATTAAAATAACATATAATACAAGTTACTGATGCACATTATTATCTTTTCTTTTCATGTTCCCAATATACTTTTGACACCTTTCACTTATGTCTTTACCATCTCATACCTCTATGTCTTTTCTACATCCCCCAAGGTGAGATTCAAACTGATATTCACCATGAGTTATTAAAAGTTCTCTCATTCATCTCTCATTCAATTACTCTATAACTCTCAGTCTTGCTCTCAATCTCTTGTTTCTTTGCTCTTGGTGTAAATCGAACACATTTGTGGAGTTGTTTAAATATGTTGGATTTTAAACTTTGGTGTAAATCGAACACATTTGTGGAGTTGTTTAAATATGTTGGATTTTAAATATATTGGATTTTAAAATGTCTTACAATTTTTGTCATCGATGTAATTGGAATCATAACTCTTATTTATTCAAATTGTATTAATATGTAAAAACCAAATGTAACTTTTTATCATCGTTAAATATTCTCTAATAAAACCAGTGAAACTTCAAAATCGTTAAATTCACGGTTCCCGTTGCATTGTGCAGGTACACAACTAGTCATTACATAAGAAAAACCATCCACTGTTTATACGAGTAGGAAAAAGCTAACAAAAGAAATAAGATCTTATGGAATGAAACAATATTGACGAAGAAATAGAAGGAAAAGATTCTCGTATGGTATGGAAAGAGAATAATATCAAATCTCAACACTTCCTCTCAAGTTGGAGTGTGTAGGTCAAGAACACCCAACTTGCCATGTAAGAACTGAAAACGCTCGCAACCAAGAGCTTTAGTGAAGATATCGATCGGTTGAAACTGAGAAGAGATAGCACATGGGTTGTGATATCTCCACTGTCTACATGTTCGCACACAAAATAACAATCCATTTCGACATGTTTCGTGCGTTCATGGAACACAAGGTTGACAGCAATGTGACGAGCTGCTTGATTGTCGCAAAATAATGGGGTGGCGCCTAAGTGTAAGGGGTCCAAATCGTGAAGGAGCCAGCGTAGCCGTAGCACTTCACAAACTGTATTCGCCATTACTCGATATTCTGCTTCAGCCAAAGAGTGGGATACAACGTTTTGTTTCTTTGTTCTCCATAAGACAGGTGAACCACCAAGGCTAATGAAATAATTGGTGCAAGAACGTCGGGTGGATGTACAACCTAGCCAATCCACGTTACAATACGTGTGAGTTGCAAGTCACCTGTCGATGGTAAGAATAACCCTTGGCGAGTAGTCCTTAAGTACCGAAGAACACGAAAAGTGGCGTTCATGTGTGAGCATCATGGACTAATCAAAAACTGGCTAAGCTGGTTGACAGCGTATGTGATATCATGTCGGGTAACAGTAAGGTAGAGTAGTCGGCCAATCAATCGTTGATACTAGGACACGTCGAATTCAGGACTGTCATCTTCTTTATGGAGCTTGAGGTTATGCTCCATAGGGAAAGCGCCGGGATGACTTGCTTGAACTCCACATTCTTTCATGTCGAATGTATACTTTCGGTGGCTAATGACAAAACCCTCTGGTGAGCATGCTACTTCAATCTCCAAAAAAAAAAAAAAAAAAATACTTGAGTGGACCTAGATCCTTGATGCTTAATTGTGCTTGCAAATAATCCTTGACATGTTGAATGTTCTTGGTGTTGTCGTCGATCAACAACACGTCGTCAACATATATTAGTACATAAACATGAGTGGATCCTCTTCGGTACACGAACATGGAATGATCCACCTTAGATTACCGAAATCCAAGTGCGAGAAGAGCGTTGGTAAATTTGTGGTACCAATTACTGCATGCTTGTCGCAAGCCGTATAGTGACTTTTGCAATTTCCAAACACGGTTATCACCTGTTTTGGAAAATCCCTGAGGTACCATCATATAAACATCTTCGTCAAGGTCTCCATGTAGAAATGCATTGTTCATGTCTAATTGATGTACTTCCCAATGTTTATTGGAAGCAAAACCTAACGCACATCGCAATGTTACCAATTTTGCAACGGGAGCAAAAGTCTGATGGAAATCGATCCCTTCCACTTGAGTGTAGCCTTTTGCCACTAACTAAGCTTTGTATTATTCCATCTCTTCACTTGGTTTGTATTTTATTTTATTGATCCATTTGGAGTCTATAGCTTTCTTTCACGGGGGTAGATCAACTAGGGCCCAAGTCCCATTTTTTCCGAGTGCTAGGATCTCATTTTTTATTGTTTCACACCATTTAGGATCTTTAACAGCCTAAGAGAAATATTTAGGCTCATCGGGCAAGGTGATCACTTCTAGGAAAGCTCTGTGAGACTTTGAAAACTTATTATATGAAACAAAATGAGAGAGGGGGTATATCTGGAGGAACCTGAAGCAGGCATGGGTCGTTGATGGTCTAGTGAGGGTGGCATGTACGTAGCAAAGTCATCAAGGTGCTTGGGCTTGCTTTTAATCGGGTGCTTTGTCGAAGACTTCCCGTGGCCTGTTGTATGGTTGATTCATTATCTGTTGGTAGATTCCCTTCCTATATATCTTGATTAATGTTGGACTCCATGGAGTGGAGCTCAGCTGAATCTAGAGTTTTTGGCCTAACAACAATCTCGGGTTCTATAATGGTGGCTAAAGGGTTTTGACTAATTGAAATATCATCATTGGATACTAATGCTTATTGAACATCATGCAATGAATCTACCAAAGTTGTTCCCTCCTTTGATTTCGGCCCTTTAAAGTTGTCACTAAAAGGGAAGATGTCTTCAAAGAAGGTAATGTCACGACTTGTATATATCTTTTGGCTTTTTAAGTAGTAAAGTTTGTACCCTTTTTGCTCCATGGGATATCCTATAAAGACACATGGTCTCCCCCTTTCGCCAAACTTATCGTGTTGGCACAGCCTATCATGTGCATATGCAAGGTATCCAAAAACACAGAAATGACTATAGGAGGGAACCTTACCGAGCAAAATTTCATGCGGCGTTTTGTTTTCAAGAACACGGGTAGGTAGTTAGTTTATGATATATGCCGCAATCAGCACACATTCCCCCTTCCCAAAATTCAATCGACAATGAGGCTTGAAAGCATAATGCCCGAGCCACTTCCAATAAATGTCTATGTTTTCATTCTACCGCCATTTTTTAGACGTGTAGGGACATGAGGTTTCTAACAAGATTCCACGTTCCCTATAGAACTCAAGCACGTAACGAGGCTGAAATTCCGACCCATTATCGG